ATGCACAATGGCAATTACATCCAGATGAAAAATTTGCCAAGTTACGAATCGCAGAGTTCACAAGATCTTTAGAAGATTTGAATAGTGCCAAAGAAGTTGCTATAAAACTGCAAGATACAATATATCAACTTTTGTATTCAGAGTTAGAAGGTGCATGGATTTACAAAGATAATTCAAGTTTGCACAAACAAAATAGCAACGATAAACAATTAAATAAACAATTAAAGAGCTATAACCAACTTTCCGAAATGGAACCAAATAACAAGTGGGCCTTACTAACTAGTACATTACTGATGAAAAAGATCGATTTCAACAAATTTTATAATGATATATTAAATAATCTATCGGCGCTATCAAAAATCGACAGTCTTCGTAAGAATTATTACAAAGATTTGCGTAAGTAATGTTTTTTTAGAATGAAATATTCATAATTCATTTTATTTTTTTAGTAATACTATTAACTGTTTGGTTTTTATTTGATTATTATGCTTCTATCAATATTATCTGTTCTTTTAGGAAGCAAACTTTTAGTGGAGTATAAACTACTTAAAATGTGGAAAGAAGAAAACGATTTAGAAATACAGTCAAAGATTGATTTATCAGGATTAGATTTGACGAAATTACACAATAATCACTATTTTAGTTTCTTTAAAGAAGTGAATCTTGGTGCAAACCAGTTAGAGAATTCTTTATATCAGCTTTCCACATTACAACGATGCGCGAAACTGTCACTGTCCAGCAATGGCTTAATATCATTGAAACGTTTTCCTATTCTATATAATCTCGAAGTTCTCTCTTTGAGAAATAATAAGTTAGTGAGTATGAAGGAGATAGTCAATTTAATAAAACGGCACAAAAATTTAAGAAGACTAGATTTACGAAATAATCCAGTATGCCAAGATATTGATATAGCTAAAATTCAAGACACAAATTCTCACGTGGAAATATGTTTACAATAACGTCAGGAAATATATTTAATAGGCAACAGATTAAAACATATTTAATAATTGTAATTTTTATGCAATCTATTCGTTGTTTTTACTGTTTTTTATCACAAAAATATTAAATCAAATTCAAATACGTTAGTATTGTGAATGATTTTATCACAGCAACTTAATTGTAAAACGTAATCTTTCAGTTCAGCGTCAAAAGAGACTCCCATACATCACTATATTATTCTTTCTGTTTTATACATCTATAATAAAGTCTATATAAATACAAAATAAAATTGCGATAAAAGATTATCAAAAAATTTTTCTTAATCGAATCGCTATCGCAATCGAAGTTTATTAAATGCTTTCCGCATAAATAATACTTAGATCACATTTCTCTAACTTATACTACATGTTCTGATAGTAACCGGAATTCAATTCAGCCGGAGTTAAAGATGAATCACCTGTGCTGCATGGGATTGTCGGAATATTTGATCCTTGAATCGTAAAGCCATGATAATCTTCCGAGCTAATTGGTTTTAAAACGGGTGGTAGATTTGCTTCGGGTGTAGGGCACTCATCTAATAAGCTGTCTGTCATATGTTTCTTAAAGAGTTGGGTATCGCCAGATGCAAGATCGGACTGAGTATCTAAACTAATAAGACTAGTCTCGTCCTCGCCTTTGCTAACTTCCAGACTATCATCGCCAATGAAGGATGGAAAGTCAAATGTTGGAGATGGCGTTACAGAATCTTCTACTAGTGACGTTCTCATTAAATCACTCGACAAATCCATCATTACGCCACCATTCATATTATCGACAGAATGTGGATATATCTGTTAGAAAATTTAAAATGTTTTATGTGAGATGTAATTCAAAGAGAAAAATTACATCTAATTTTCACCTATCTCATTCTTACCTGTGGAATAATTGGCGGGGGTAGCTGATAGCTCTCAATATCCTCGCTATCTAAATTAGTAGGTACCCTCTGACTATGCGATATTAGTAGCGGTGTTCTCTCAATTACTTTATCTACATCTTCTCTGATCTTCTCTTTGAAATCTATCATTTTATTTTTTAGTTCTTCTGCTTGTTTTATAATGTCAGTATTTTTAGTTTGCAAGTCATCTAATAAAGTTATATCTTCGCACATGAAGTGTAAACTCTGCAATAATTAAACATAAATTTACGTTTAATTATGTAAATTAAACATAAATTTAACATTATATAATAAATTACATCTATGAGTAATCAATTCTCAACTATAAATATATATCACAAATATTACTTCGCATATCATAAGAGCCGATTCCCATGTGTTAGCTGGAACACATTCTCCTGACATGTATGCATTAAAGTCCTTCTCAGCCATATTCAAGGATTCCGCGGTTAAGTTTTCGATAAATGACACTGCGCAACACTAATGTTACGAATAGTTATTATTAAAAACAATAATAATCTCTTGCCTTCGAGATAGCGTAAAAGAAATTTGCGAAATTTCTAATATATATATAAAACTGTACCAGATTTGTGAAGTAATAGCCTCCTTCTCCAGTCATTAATCTGCTGGCATTGCAAAATCTTGTAATAAAATTTATATTGCTTTTGAGGCGTGCAGGATTAGCCTTTAAAACGATAAATATAAGCGCTGGAAGGAATTCATCAGCAGATGCAGGTCCATCAACAGACTGTTGCAACAACAAAAATATATTTCTACAACAATGAATTACACAGGCCAGTTTCTCTTGGGGCGCTTTAGCGGAATCCATATTTAAAAGATCTGAAAGAAATTAGTGCTCATATTGTGCTGCAATGTTGAATTGCAAAATTGTTGACTGTTATGTGATTCCATTTAGTAATATAAGAACTGTTCTTTTTACCTAAAGTTCTTGTACAATTCATCTTTCTTTTTTCTCCATATTGGAGAGAAAAAAATAAAAGATGAACTGTACAAGAAATTAAACTAAAAAGAAGGCCTATAACAAACCTGTGATAGATGTATAAACAAGTTCTCTAACTTCCGAGCTTGTCTCGTGAATCCTACATTCCAAATTCTTGCCACTAACCCAATTTAATTGTCGTATTCTGTTAAGAAAAAATAAATTATAATATGCTGTATAAGTTTAAGCTGTTCTAAAATTATGATATACACCTTTTCTGTATAGCTAAGTCTTTTTCTTCATCTGTCGTGAATGGAGGACAAAAAAGGATTCTGTATAACAAAGTCATTGCATACCTTTCGACATAATCTAATAACTTCTCTTTAATATCTGGAGGTATATCTGTAATAGCATAAACTAGGTATAGCATAAAACAGATAAACTTCAAATTATTCAAGATAAATGTTCAGGATAATACAAGTAAATATATATAATAGATTAAAACCTGAATATTTGGTGCTGTTTTCCAGACGCTTTCCAAACACATGATAAAAGTTTTGCGTTATTTCAGATAATTCTTCTATCCTCTTCACATCTTTGTTCTGAAGTATATCTACTATAAATGAATGTATGCATTTTCTTACATCCTTTTCCACTGGTGTCTTAGCTATATACAACAGCAAATCTCGATTCTCCGCCTTAACTTTCTCAAGATCTGGATTATCCTTCAATAATTCATGATATAATTCCTGATATCCTTGAACTTGAAAATGCATGAATATTATTGCATACTTCTAATAAACAACTATTTATAAGCAACAGCATGAAATGTAATACAGTTTACCTTTAGCAACAGGTTTCCTGAATGAAATATTCAACAATTTATACTTCTTCTCCTGCTGTACTTTCTTCTCCTCATATCCCTTGTAACTTCCAGCATTCGTTGAACGAGTGACATTGTCTCTAAAAAAGTAACAAATAAGATATGCTTTAAAAGCTCAGAGAAACAATATAAGAACATGGCAGAAAGAAATCTTACATATCCGAACTCTGTGCGTGAGACACACGTTCAGCTTGAGCCCGTCGTTTCTGCAAGTGTTCTCGGTGACATTTGCTGCAGTAGCCCTCCCATTCCGCGTTACCATAGAATCCACAGCCATTTCTGCACTTCAAATCAGCTTCGTCGATTCGCAAAGTCGGCGTTTTCGTTGAATACATAGCGACCGACGGAGAAAATCGTCCTCGATGTTGACGACAAAGAATCGCAACCCTCCGCCAACCCCGCCTAACCTAACCTAAACTGTCCATCTAACTTAAGTCCATTAGGAACGTCCGTTACGTTTTAATCTCCGTCGATATTGAATATCATTTTTTCCACTTTTGCAATCATGAAGCTCTTGCAAACGTCAATTTATCGTTAAATGGAGGAAAAGATTGATGTGAGGAAGAAATTGACAAGAGAGCAGAAGCAAATACCTCAGCATGGGTTATCTCAGATTAGATTTGATTAGATTGGAGCACGCGTGATACAAATGTCAAGTAGGCATCATGGGAGCTAGGGGTTGATTGTATATTTTCAAATGAAGTGAAAATTACAAAAGTAACAAATTTACTAGAATATTTATAATTTAATTGGTCAATATTTAGTAATTTTTGCTTATTTTTGTAATTTTCATCTCCTTTCAAAATCCACAATCGACTCCCTGATTTTTTCTTGATTGGAATTGTGTTGAATGGTTGAATCCATAATGTATAAGAATACAAGGCGTACCATTGCACATAATGGTGATAGCAATACTGGAAGTAACCAATCAAATTTTGGCTTCTATGCATTTTCCTGCGTATTAATAGCGCTGACATTTTGGAATAGCTAATGGTTGCGTTCAGCAGAGAAAGCAGTTTAGCAACTGTTGTAAAATTTTTAGATATGATTGGTTTATACATTTAGATCCAGTAAAGAATTAAGCGCAAGACCATATTAAAGAATTTTACAATAGTTGCAAAGTCGCGTTTTCTGCTAAATGCAGCCAATCAAATTTTGGCTTCCTACTGCGCATCCTCGGGAATGGTACGTTTTCTTATATCATGGTTGAATCAGTTGAGAAACTTGTGATCATCGACAGCTAATTATCTTCGATAGAATAGGTCCGTCGAGAAATTGAAATAGCGGCTTAAAATCAACCTAAAAAGAAAAAAAAATTATAAACACAAATCCAATTCTATCACAGTTTTTTTTTAGTATTCTTTCGAATATTTTTAAGCGTTTTACAATATTCTTCTTGATTAAAGTTTATGTATAACTTCGTTATTAAAGTTTATGTATAACTTCATTATTAGATGCAATGAATCCTTTGACGTATGTATTTTCAATTCATTTATTGGTTAAGAAAATTACGTGAATAGTAGAAAATATGAAAATATTTGATTAGTTAACTTAATAATTGAATTAATAATCTTATTTAATAACATAATCAATTTTATTTCTTGTTTTATTATCTTTAATTTTTAGCTTGACATACACGAATTTCTGTTTTATGAAATAAAAAGTATGATTATGACTAATCTGTGCTTTCAGTAACGTCAAAAATATAAAGAAGCTCAACGAACAAGAATTACAAGGGAGGAACAAATCATCTTGGCACGATCAGTATAAAGATAGTGCTTGGATTTTTGTCGGTGGCCTTCCATATAATTTAACGGAAGGTGATGTTATTGCCATTTTTTCTCAGTAAGTTAAATAGTAAACAAGTTGTAATTATAATTCAAAACACAATTGGAGTTTCACATTAAATATAGAATATCATTACAGATATGGGGAAGTAGTTAATATAAATTTAATCAGAGATAAAGATACTGGAAAGCAAAAGGGTTATGGTTTCTTATGTTATGAAGATCAGAGGAGCACTATATTAGCGGTCGACAATTTCAATGGCATAAAGGTATTTTAGTGGGATAGCGATATAATCGTCTCTTTGTAATATAATTGTTTTATTTTTACGTATACGATAAAATTTTGTATCTATAAATTACATAATTGCTTGCAATATCTATAAAATATATAATTATAATTATTTGAAATGTCTAATAAAAATTGTTTTTTTTTTGTTATAGATATTAGGTAGAGTAATACGAGTAGATCACGTTTCTAATTACAAAGCACCTAAAGATTCAAAAAATATAGACGAAGAAACGAGAAATTTACGGAAAGAAGGTTGTGCTCCAAAGAAAGGCTGAAGATGTATATACAACATATCAATAATTCCAGAAATATTTTGTTTTAATTGTAGTATTATGAACAGTTTTACATTTAGACTTAATGGAATATATTATTGACTACAAAAGTTATTTACGACTACTTAATTACTGCCAGTTAAGTCTTTAGTGTTACAGTTGAGATTAGCAATATTACTCAACTTTTATCTCATTATTCCTATTGTACAGTCTTATTTTCCAATTTGATTTGATTTTTCCTCAAGTCTCAAGTATAGAGAACTAGTCATTAGGAGTTGCAAAGGATTAAGAAGCTCCCCGTTTATATTAAACGGAATAATATAATATTAATTGTAATCAGGATTAACAAACATGTTAATGAATTGTGTTACTTCTTGAGGGAATGATATCAAGAGGAACCGAATTCGCTCATCCATTTCTCATATTTTTCTAAGTCTTCTTGGGAAACGCTTTTGTTACATCTCTCAACGGCTTCGTCGAAATCAGCAGCGGATACAGGCAAATCCAATTCTTCCTTTGGCAATTGCCTGATTTGATCGGGCCTTAAACCCGCAATTTTTTTTCTCATTAACATCATGGAAGCATCCCTGCAACAAATGTAAAATAGTTCGATAGAGTTCGAAACTCAATGTAAACTATATTTTAATAAGCTCTACTCACCTGCAAACATTTGTAATATCCGCACCAGAATAACCCTCCAGTTTTCTTGCAATGTCTGTAAGGTTTACAGACAAATCTACTTTAACTTCACGAAGGTTTATCCTTAACAATGCTTCTCTGCCTTCATCTGCAATAAACAAAATAAGATATATTTATTATTAAGAATACACTACATCCTGTTGAAGGCTTACAAAGTTTAATAGACTTACGATTCGGCAATGGAATGTAGATACGTTTTTCCAAGCGTCTTCTTAGAGCTTCATCGATATCCCATGGGAAATTTGTTGCTGCTAGTACCATTACTACTTTACTTGGATCTTCGCTATATAAAACAAAGAGCTTTAGTATCCATTTGTATCACAAAAGCAAAAACATTATACAGTGTTTTACCTATTGGAACTTATTCCATCCATTTGAACAAGAAGTTCAGACTTTACACGACGTGAAGCTTCGTGCTCAGATTCAGATCCTCTTCTGGAGCACAGAGAATCAATTTCATCGATGAAAATTGTACTGGGCGCATAAAATCTGGCCTATAGCCAAATAACAAAATATATTGGTATCATAAATGGACATTACATTTCTTTCAATTATAGAAATTTATTTTACTTAGTTATATAGATTATTTTTAATTTTTTACCATCTCGAATAACAATCGAACAAGTTTCTCCGATTCACCCCTATATTTCGATGTTAATGTAGAGGATGAGACATTGAAGAATGTTGTGCCACACTCAGTTGCAACAGCCTTTGCGAGCATAGTCTTGCCTGTGCCAGGTGGTCCAACCATTAATACTCCTTTCCAAGGTCGCCTAATCCCCTAAAAATATCACATGTAATATAGACAAAATTTTATTGTAACATATGATTAAAAAAGAAAATATACCTTGAAGAAATCAGGCATCCACATTGGAAGTACAACTGCTTCTTCCAACAACCGCTTTGCCTCGTGTAAATCAGCTATATCGTCCCAATGGATGTTTGGATTCTTTTGAACAATATCTCTTTCTAAATATTAACATACACGTTTGCTTTTATATTTTCATCGTTACATTTGTGAAGAATGATATTAATGACAGAATAATATCATTACCTAATATTTCTACAAGATCTTTATCATTAGCAGATGGTTCAAATTTGCGTTCTTCTAATTCAACATCATCTTTTTCTGTTTCTGACTTATCCTGTAAATTATTATATAATGTTATAATATCAATATTAATATTAGCAATATTACGAGCATGAAATATAATTAATAAATATTTTTATTACCTTGCTTGCATCATCTTTCTTTACAATTTTCTTATCATCCTTTTTACCAGAAGCCTTACTGTCTGGCTTTTTAGCCGTGGCAAGAGATTTTTTAGTATTTGTACGATTCTGCTGTTTTTGTTGCTGAATTTTTTGCTGTCTTGAATTTCTGAAAAAGATGTAATAGTAATTAGATATTTTCCATAATTATATAACAATAATATATATCGGTACTAAAAAGAGAAAAGGAAAAACTAGAAATATTTTCTTGAAGAAGAAAGTTTGAATTTAATACACAAATTAACAAGTAATAAAGTATTATAAGTTTAAATCGATATTGATACTTTTGTTCTGCTGGAGTTAAGGGAGGCCACACATCAGGATCCCTGGGCTGTGTTTGATTCCAAGAGGAATCTGAATTGTTGTAAGCCCAGAGAGCAGGATCTCGTGTCGTTTCCTCGAATGATAAGCAGGATGTTCCTGAAATTTGTGGACTTGTTAAATTAGCTTGATTATTTTTTTCCAATTAGTTATCATTATTCCAATTAGTTGGATGAACTCTATCTTAATTGTGCTACCGAGCAGCCTCTCGCCATGTGTGTCCACTTTGAAAAGTTGCAACGTGCTGGATGTAGCCTTCACTTTCTCAAACTCTTCAACGATCTGATGCTGTACTATCTGCCACTTTGCCTTGCGAGTCGCGTCCGCTATGGTTGCAAGTAATCTGTGTATCTGCTGCACAACTCCTTGATAGTAGACACCGGATGTGTCATAGTTTCCCATCAATGCCATCTCACGCGCGAGCTTTGTGTTCTCGCAAATTTCATTTATTGACACAGCCATTCCGTCACTCGAATAGATACAAAATTTATTGGATTCTTAAAGAGATATCACGGTGACAGCGCAATCCCTTGGATTCTATTGCACTTTTCGTAATGGCGAAAATTCGTTTAATACCTTGGTGTACATTTTTTCGCTGTAGTCGACATATTAAACTACATTTGCATAACTGAAGATTAATTCTCGTCAAACGGTCGCACTAAACATAAATTAATCTTGATAACTTGTATAATATAAATTGATAAATTACATAAATAAAATGATAAATTAATAACAAGTTAAATTTAAATATATGCTTTTGCAGAAATTATGAACTTCCATCATTTTGTGTCATATTCATTTAGCATTTTTGTTGTATCACAGAAGTATTTTGTGGTATCACAGGAAATCACATGAAATCATACTAAAAACCCACTGTCATAAACTGATTACTGACAAAATCGAAAACATCCGAAGATTGGCTACGTTCAACGGAATACAACAGTTTTGCAACCGTTTTATGATTCTCTGCTGAGATAGGACTATTCCTCTTGATCTAAAAGCATAACCCAATCAGCGCGAAGAAAACTTCCAACAGTTGCAAAATAAATGTTCTGCTAAATGTAACCATTATGATCTTTCTGTTTCTGAAGCCATTGGTTACATAGAAAAATTTAAGATGTAAAGGTACCTTTATTTCGCAAATACAATGAGTATAGTAGCCTTAAGTCATAAGAAATTCATCAATCACAATGTGAGAAGAATAATCGACAATGATTCGTCCATTTCTTGGCTTAAGGCTTAAAACTCTATTGTAGATTCGAGTAAAGGTTTACTACACCTATTGGCTGCGTTTGCTTTGCTGCTCACAGCGCTTGTGAGCACCAATCGTCCTTGTTTAATATTTAATAAACAAGGGGATCGATTGCGTATCTTGAAATGAGATGAAAATTACAAAAATGAATAAATTCATTAGAATTTTCATAATTTAATTGGTCAATACTTACTAATCTTCTCACTTTTGTAATTTTCATCTTATTTCGAGATACATAATCAATGCCCAGAATAAAACGATACAGCCATTATGTTAACATGAGAGCGTCAACATAGCCTTAATTGGATATAAGATAGAGAGATCCAGGACATCTCAAAAACGATGTTTTTATGAAAAAAAAAAAAACGAATTTGAAATAGTCTCTCAAAAACAGTTTCTAAATGATATTTTAAATCGTCTTTGAGGCCACTTTAAATTGATCTATTTGTAAAAAGAATCGTTTCATTTTTACTAAAGAGCAATTTTTAACAATTTTTCGTATATATCGATAAGAGTGAAATCACAATGGTGCGGAAAACGACTGTGGAATAGAGAATGCACCATTGAAGCAACCAATCAGCATTATTCTGTATTATTTCGAATAGCGCTGATTGGTTATTCTCTATTCCGCAATTGTTTTCCGCATCGTATGATTTCATCCTAAGGATTTCATCCATTCCTAAATTGATTCTTAAGAATCGATTCAATTGTTAGAAAATATCACTAGTTGGCGCTCTCATCCAACGTTTTCTTTTCAATTCTTTTTGATTCTTGTTTCGCTTGGATTGGATGTCGTATTCTTTCCATTTCTTTCGACAACAGGCAAGGAAGTGAACATACAAACGACACGAATAGCGATTCGAATTGATTCAGTTGCTTTCAAAGTTTTCTGATTAACGAAGGTAAAGCATTTGTAGCGATTAGAAAATATTTATATTTTACAGTACAATTTTTTATTTGTTCAATTAAATATTCGTTCCGATATCCTTTTTTATCTTATATTTACATACCACGTGGATTCGCAACCGTTGAAAGTTCGTTACAAGCAATGTGATTTTTGTATCTTATCGGTTATTTGTATTATTTTTTTTATGTAAGGTTACATTTGTTGTCCGTTATCGATGATATATTGAAATATTCAATATTTTGAAAAACTCGATAATATTAAATTGATATTCGTGAAATTTGATAATTTACTGAGAATCACGAAACTGTCAGTATTGATTACAGGAAGAAAGATATTTTTAATATTTATATATCTTGAATATTTTTTTCTATGTATACGAGTGCAAAAATGCCGATTTCAAATGAATTTGTACGTAAATTTATGACGCAATATTTTCTGGCAGCAATTCTATTGATGAGATTTAATTTGAGGTTTCCATTTGATCTATTTCGTTTTTGGAGTTAAGCTTGATCTACGATCTGTTCTTTGTTTCCTATTTCTTGCTTTTTTTATCTCTTCTTTCTCTCTATTTAATAGTTTTATTGATCATTTTATTTTTTGCCAATTTTATGTTTCTTGTTTCTTCCGAAGTTCGTTAATTTTTATCTCTGACGAGATAAAAAAAACGAAAAATAAAATAAGAGGCAAAAGACAAGATGTAAGAAATAACCAAAAGCAACAAACAGGAAATAAAAAGCACATTGTAGATCAGGTTTTTATGAATAATTAAATATATTATTTAATATAATTAAATATATTACAATAATTCTTTTTATTTAATCCACAACTCTGTAACAAAATTTAGGATTTATATTTTAAAAACGATTTCGTAGAAAAAAATTTCGAGTTTTCACATTAGAATGTAAAAAATGTTGGCAAATTTTTTTGGTTGTGTCAAGTCCACAAAGTAGAAGAAAAATTTGTTATTTTGTCCAATTTATAATTTTTCATGGGTGCGTTCCACTTAACATTCACAACGTTTGCGAGCAACATTCATCCTTTTCAAATATTAAGCAAAGAAATGCTCCAGAGTATTGCGAATATAGTGGAAACATGTCTTATATGTAATATTTATCAAATTCACATAGACTCAAAAACCAATGATCTTTCGAAAATACAAATTTTAAGCTTTAACACTCATTTTTATTTAAATTTCGTTTATTTTTAATGAAATTGTAGCTGCTTGAATTTTTAATAAATTGGGCATGATTTTTTGATTCGTCCAACAACAAATATTTGATTTAATCTCTTTTTATTTTATGATCTATGTCCAAGTTTCTTTATAATCATATCTTTTTCTTACAGGAAGAAAAATATTGTTATAAAAAGAAAAAAATGGGTAAGGTAAAAGCATTGAAGCATAATGCAAATAAAGGAAAACAGCAATTGCATGAAATAAAAGGTGGTTCTATAAAGAAAAACAAAGATTCCAAATTCAAAAATACACCCAAAGGTAAGGTAGCTTTAATCAACAATTCAATAGAAATTTATCGGAAGCTTTCCCCAAAAGTCTCCTCTGAAAATAAATCTTCAGATCAAAAGCCTACTCCAAATAAAAACAAGGTTTCAAAGAAATATTTGGATCAAAAGTCTTCTCCAAATGGTAATGCAGTAGCGAAGCGATCAAAACAAGATTCTCCAAACAAAAAACAAAATTTCAAGCAAAACACGAATTCAAACAAAGCACAAAGAATTGGTAAGAAGACTTTCAATCCTAAAAAGGTGGAAAAGCAATTAGATAAATCTAATTCTAACACCATTGAAAGTGAGGATGATAGTTTAAATAAATCAGATGAAACATCTGAAAGCGATTCAGATATCCCAGATATTCTTGGCAAGAGTTTAGGAGATGAAACAGATGATGAAGATTATGAAGAGGAAGAAGAAGAAGACACGGATAATGATGATGACTCTGATGAAGAAGAGATGGACGATGATGACGATAGTGATGAAGAAGAGATGAGTGAGCATAAAGGTGTAAAAATGTTTAAAGGTTTACAATTTAAAAATAAGAAAAATCAAAAGGAGGATGATGAAATCGAAAGTAATGAGAATACAACTGAGAGTGATGAAGATGATGATGAAGATGATACGGATGAAGATGACGACAAAGAAAAGCAGAAAAAGAAAGATGATCACATTAAAAAACCTAAGATTAGAATTATCAAAAATTATGCTGAAGTAAATCCTATAGTATCGGAAAATTCCGATTCAGATGACTATTCCAATGATACTACTGATTATAGCGATGATGAGGATGCAGAATTAGGTACAAAAGCACTTTTGGGGCAAAGTATTGCAGACGACGATGATGAAAATTTTAATGGAGAAGATAAAGATAGTAGTGATGATATGTATGAAGATGATATTAGTAGTGAAATTGAAAAAGACAGTGAGAATGATGAGAATGATGCAGAAAGAGAAGTCAATGAAAATGAGAACAGTATTATAGGAAGATTTAACATAACACAAAAAGAAAAAGATGATCTAGCAAGAAGAATTGTTCTCATTGATAATATCTCAAAGACAACACCTAGTAACGAGATAGCAGAACTGTGTAAGGAATATGGAAAATACCAGATATTTGAAGCAAGACCTTATCCAGCATTCTTTCTTGATTCAGAAAAAGGGGAACAAATAGAACCTTTGGAATGGCTAAATCGGGATTATCCACATCTAGAAACATTCTCAGTAAATGTCCTATATTCTAACAGACAAGACGCTCTGAAAGCAATGAAGCATATGCATGGAATGAAGTTCGCTGGAAATTATTTAAATGTAGTAACTGCTGATCAAACTGTTCAAGAGCCTGACTATGCTGTATATATAACAAATCTAAAAAAGAGTACGTATAATAAATCATTGTTGGTCATTTGTCACAATTATGTATTATGAAAAATAATAATGGAATGTTTTTTTTAATATTTCAGCAATGCCTGACAACTATATCTGGAAAATGTTTAATCAATGTGGAACCATAGTACGTATGCGAAATGTACGTGATCCAATAACGGGACTAAGTAGAGGATTTGGTTACATCTCCTTTAATAATGTGGACTCTGCAAAGTTTGCTCTTGAATATAACAATGTAAAACTTAATGGACGGCGAATTAAAGTGCTGCCATATCCTTATCGTGAGAAAACATCTGTTAAAAATTTGGTAGAAGAAATAAGACGAAGGAATCAAACAATTCTTGAAAGTGGAAAACGAATTCTTGAAAATGATAATCGATCATCAAAAAAGTTTAAGAAGAGTTCGGGAGAACCTGCTAATGTAAATATTTGAACTATTCGTAAATACGTTTATTGCAAATCTTTTGATAATATAATACATTGCAGATTTTGTTCAAATAAAGAACTATATTTTTTCTTAAAAATAAAGATAGAATTAATGTAAGTAAGATAGAATTAATGTAGTGTTAATGTAATGTAAATTCTTTTATCTTCTTTTTATAGGTTGAACCTGAAAGAAACATTAAGAAGCATAAAAAGCAAGAGGGAGATAAAAAAAAGTCTACTACATTTCAAGGTCAAATGGTCGAATTAAAAAATAAAAATAAGAAAAACAAACTTGATAAGAAAAAGAAGAAAATGGCAGAAAAACTTGTAGCTAAATCTAAAAAAACTAAAAAAAATTAAGTTAATATTATCGTATTTTATGAATTCTTAGACATACTTATTACGTAATTTTTTTAACGTTTTTTTATAACCGAAGATATTTTTCGAGTGTTTATTTAATTTTAAAAGAAGTGTTGGCACTGTAATGAAGAACACTGTAATCTGTAGAAATTTAATATCATCATATATTTTATGGATTGGTTAGGCAATTATCACGCGAGTTTTTATTTTCAAAAACATTGTTCATATACATGTTCGTTTAATATTGAAGAAAAAAAGTAGATATTGACAATGTTACAAGGAACACTACAGTTCTTTAAATTAAAACTGTGATTACACGTAATGTAAACGAGAATACCTCCAATGTATTATACTTCCTCGTATACTGTTATAATGTAACTGCCACTGCTTTTTAATAAATAACGTTTGACAAAAAAAAGAAATTTACATTGTTTTTAAGAATCTGTTTGTTTTGTTAAATTCTTAATTTTACCATGTAACTGAGTTGGTAAATGCTGTATGTTACTAAACGCACACTTTGAACAGAAACGTCTCGTGTAAAATATGCTGCATCCTAGACATACCGCATGTTCGCACACACTGCAATCGGCGCCCAAGACCAAGACTTCGCCTTTATTTGGTAAACTAAATGGATCTTTCATAATATAACATTCTTCTGAATAAACAAACTGTCGAGCGAATGGCGGCCTTATGCCTTTATAATCATAGCGCTCTTTTAAAAGACAAAAAGAACAAGTGAAAATGCCACCATCCACTTTCATCGCCGTCTGTTGACTCGTAGAAGCATCCTGTTGCGTCTGCTCATTGATATCAGGTTCGCCTGCTGATGTATGAACGAGATCCTCCTTCCTATAAAGCAACAAGGAACAGAATGTGCCACTCAATGTGTTATCGGATTTGGGCATAAATTTATTTTATATTGTATAAATATATTACAATTTTACATTCTACGCATACATTTATTTTCTATGTAAGTTTGTGATATTTAACGTCTTAATGTTACTTTGTATCTTTGGCAAAAACTATTTCTTTTTGTAATTCTTGAGGCCACCATGAAGGTTTTACTACTCTTACATTCATACCAGATACATTAAGCTGTCGAGCACTAAGAGATTCATTTATACGCATCAAGCCTAATCCGTATTTAGCGACGCATCCTCGGAACTTTCCTACTGCATTGCCAGATTCGTTAAGAATTTTCTCATCATACGCAAACGGTTTATCTATAACGTTATCAAATAACAGAGGCATTAGGCGTTTCCTGACTACACCTGTGTGATATGTTCGCGCGGTTAATTCCTGGCCAATATAGCAGCCCTTGTGAAAACTAACGCCATGTAAATAATCGCAATTGATTTCTAAGGGCAATGCTTTCCCAGGTGGTAGATCATGTATGCCTTCCCCTATTCCTAATTTATATCGAAACGCCTTATAGTCTCCGAGACTCTCTGATGGAGCTATATCAGCATCTAGATGTTTAATTATCTCGCTTCTACTAATCTGTGACTCGGCGAGAATTCTAAGACCAAGATCAGGTAATCTGGGATCTTCATATATCATAACGTTGTCGACAAACTTGCTGGTTTTACTATTAAACGTGCCACATGGAAATATCATTCCTTCCAGCTTGAACTTTTCTGTCTCGTTCACCGCAGCTCCATTATCGAGATGTTTGATAGAATTGAACATCGACCAGACATTAATTTTGTCTCCTACATGTTCTATATCTATCTTTCGTCTTACGCGATACATCTTCAAGTGTCTCTGTAAGGAATCAACAATCTGCGAATCACATTCTACGTAATACAAGTTGCTTTCCTCACTCTTGTATACAATAGCATCGCACATCACTCTGCCTCGGATATTCAAAAACAAAGTATAGATGCTAGGCGCCCCTTCGTCGAGGTGTTTCATATCATTCGTAATCAATCCCTGGAGGAAGAAAGAGGCTTCATTACCATTTACGCGCAGTATGCTTCTGTCAATCAAGCGTTCTAAGGTCTTGCCATCGACTTGGGTTGAACTGTGTCTAAATGTGTATCGCTGGTGGCTACTGATCCTTTTATTTCGCTTGCACATATGGAGAACGGAGCGACTAACGCGATCAATCACCATAGCGGACGTCATATTCGAATGGATTCTTTTATTTCTACGAAAAATAAACACGCAAGTACACTAGGACCGGTGGACGATTTTGCCTAACCTCCGAATATCTTATATTTAATTATTTCTATACGCAGCATAGCACAATATTATGAGATATATTACTCTTACATTTATGCGGTAATTCAATTACGATTGTTTCAATCAATTCCAATTATATGATCCGATATGTGAAAAGGAGTCCGAGCCTCAATTGTCCGTGCCTCGAAATCAGATGATCACGAGTCCTAGCTGCACTTTATTGTACTTTCTGTACCCAAAATGAAATAAATATTAAAATATAAAATTGAAATATTGAAAAGAAATGAAAGAGTAATAAAAAAAAATGTAATAGAATACTATTTAATAAATCGCGCGTAATATTTTGACATGAAAAAAATTAACTACATTCGATAGTAAAAACGGTCGGTAATATTGGTATTTTATTTACTCTTTTGAGATATCTGCATTTTATGGTCATGAAAATTATATATTAGGAATCAATATATAAATTATTTAAGGATATATGTTACATTTAAAAACAATGTTAAAGAAAAAATGTTAATTTAAAGAAAAGAAGATTGAGAAATAGGCAGGGATGATCCGACATGCTTCGGGATTTCAACAGTATTTCTCATGCATTTCATTTTATTTACTTTCTTCGTTTCTTAACAAAACAATGGTGATCACAATTAGATATAGATATCAGTCGTTCGCACTTAAATAAGGCGATCTGAACTGCGTTTGTTTTTGCATTAATTTTTCATCGCCATTAATCTTACAATTCATTCTCTGCTTATTCTTTATATAATTGTTTCATATTAAATGACGTAGGTGATATAACATTTTGCAAAGTGATATATACAAGATTATTGGTAGAAAACTTTTTTTGCAATTTTTTCTAAAAGTAGCAAATAACTGTGTCTTTTAGATCGAGACTTATTTCCTAACTAAAGTTCAATTTAAATTATTCTTTATTTAACGTATAACATTTCTGTCAATTGTGACAAAAACGAGTTGGTCCTTAAAATCGAGTTTTTACAGTGATAATTAAATAAATGTATCTAATATAAAGGAATTCAAGTTATAATTATACAAAATAGCTAACAAAGAATTATAATTCATAATATATGCAAAGATCAACATCATAATTTTTATATTGTACATAAATAATTGTAACAATTGTCGACAAAAATAATTAGACTGATATATTTGAAATCAATCAATGCAAAAAGAAGATTTTCAAATTTTAAAAAAATTAAAAAATTTGACATATATAAGCTGTTTTAACATGAATTCTGAAGCATCATATATGATTCTAGAGATGAATATAGTAAATGTGATCCTAACAGTTAATAGAGCTACTATCGTGAAATTTTCAGCGAACCAAATGAATTTTTTTATCGAGATACAGTATAATTTTAAAATAATATATACGCAGTAATTGTGCGATCAATCGATACACTAGTCTTCACGCACGTTCATCACTGGAATCTCGGAGCAATATTTTGTATATTCAAGTATCATATTGATACTAGTTGATACTAAATATTAATAATCGGAGAACCATTCATGACCATCTACAAATTTCACAGGGTAGCGGTTCTCAAATTTTTTCAACACGAATAAAACTATGTAAATATTGTTAGTAACGCAGCACGTAAGAAATAAATAATTTGTACTGCATTATATATATATATATATACATATATATATATATATATATAAAGTAAAAAAGAACAAAATTAAATCCAATAATTAAATTCAATAATTAATTTTCCAGGATTATTTCTCGGATTTGGTTCTTTTATTTCATTTTTTTTTCACGCTATATCTCGTATAATAATATGAATCTTTTTCTATCGTTTAAAATAAAATTAATTGTAATTTAAGCATCGCTATAATAGGATGATTTTAAATACAACGCGTCGTGCAAGATTTATTCTCGTATATGTTACATCACCGTTAAGCGCACTGTCATCGTCGAACATCGTCAAACAGCGTCATCCACCTTTATACAAACAATTCGTATACAGCCTGATCAGAAGGATCGGATGATATAAGATCAACGTGACATCCTATTTACAGTCGACGAATACGATCCGTCGCGAAAGAAGATTCTCGGTCTTGGAACATCTTGGCGGAAATATCTCGTTATTGCACAATAATGTCAGAGTTGAGATACGACTTCGTCGCGTTAACGATCACGATCGAATTACAATTAATCTACGGGCTAATGGTTACTTCAGTATTCTACATCGTACTACGATAAGGTATTACGATAAGGGGAGACTGGCCAGAACGTGCGCAATTTATTATTGCTTTGGCTATGATGCATAGTGTAATATCTTTATTAGCGTATTTTCTCGTAGAAATAATTAACGTTACGAGTTTGAGAGCGAATGGCGGAGCGAATCTCGTTTTCGCCACGGAAAGCCCGTTTAAACGGCGAAAACTCCACATGCAACGAATCGGTGCAACCATACGGTTTTTATTTCTTTTTTTTCTTTTCCCTCCTTTTATTTATTTCGTTCGAGCGAAAGAGTTACTGAGGCCTGTTCTTTTATTTTTCCGCTCGCCGTTTTCATTTCGGCTTACGTATTTAACTCCAAACAACTGCTCTATGTTACATTTGCCGTAAGCTGCAAGGTGACGAACTGCAGACAACGCTGGATCGGACTACAAACAGAACGTATGCAGATCCATTCCGTAAAGAGTAACTTTGTTACATCGCAATTGCCGCGATTCGCCTGGCAGCAATCTCTGTTTCACGGGAATTCCGTTTCAAAGGGATGAAGCGCACGGGAAACAATGCGGCCGATTAATCTCGCTCGGGTAGTCTCTGTTGCTTCTTACTG